CCACGTGCCGCTTCCCAATACTCAGCTAACCGTATGAGTTGTTTCGGTATCCGCGTCGAATCCATACCCCACACATAACCGAGCCACCTCAGCTGTCTCAGCAAAACTATGTAGTCCACTGCATACATTCCACTTTGTCGCAACACTTCCGTGCCTGCAACTCTGTCGCCCCAACCGATGCGCAAAATCCGTCGCAAACACTGCTGATGGGACCGCTCGAGATATCGCACATCCCGACGGTACATCATCCACGTTTCACTGCCGTATAGAAGAACGGACAGCACCGTGGATTTGTACACCATCAGCTTCGTGCCAATGGTAAGCTGATGGTTGTTCCACACTCGGTACTCAAGCTTCCCGAATGCCGCAGCTGCCTTCGACACGCGGGTACGAAGCTCATCGTGTAGCTGCTGATCAGTCGACATCACACTCCCAAGGTAGCAGAAGCAGGAGGTGCTTTCCAATACTTAAGCACCAATGCTGATTCGTGGCAATATTGAAGATTGCACGCCCGGTGAAGGCTGAAAGAGATAAACAGTTTTGCTTGTGTTGATTGTGAGCCCGAATTTGACCGCTGTCGAAGCCAGAGCACTAGTCATGTGCTGCAACTCATCCGCGCTGTGTGCAAACAACGCACAGTCGTCAGCAAACAGCAAAATACGGATAGTTTTCTCACAGACTAGAGTTCTCGTATCAAAACGAGGGATGTTCAGCAACCCACCACCAATACGGTGCTCCACACGAACACCGTAAGCACAAACCGATTCAAAAGCACAAGACATCATTTCATGAAGATATATATTAAACAGGGCAGGAGCAAAGACACAGCCTTGCTTCACACCAGTGACAACTGCAAAGTCATCAGAGGTCTCTCCACTCAGCTGCACCCTCGCTCGCATACCACTGTGCAGACATTCAATTAAACTCACAATTACGCGGGCAACCAAACTTACCCAACACCAGCCACAATGCCTCGCGGTTCACCGTATCAAATGCCTTGGTGAAATCAACAAAAAGCGAGTACCATGGCTAGTGTCGTTCTCTGCACTTCTCCTGCAACTGACGAGCCGCAAACACCATATCTATAGTGCTGCGACCCGAACGGAATCCACAATGCTCTTCCGCCACGTTAGGTTCCACAACTTGACTGACGAGGCGGTTGAGCAGGATTCGGGCAATCATCTTGCTCACACAACTCAGCAAGTTGATGCCACGACAATTCCGGCAACATTGCTTGCTACCTTTGCCCTTGTGCAGTGGTAGCACAAGGGCATCCTTCAGCTCAGCAGGCACTTCCTGCACAATCCATACACGCTGCACCAAGTATTGCAGCGCAGTCAACAACGCGGGTCCGCCGAGTTTCAATACTTCAGGCAGGATCCCGTTGGCCCCTGCACAGTTGCCATTTCGCAGCTGAGCAAGTGCTATCTGCGTCTCATCCAGTCTCGGCGTGTCCGCCAGACTCGTTTTCACGCCGTGCTGCTTCAGGCAGTTCGCTGTAGGCCAGTCGATCTCTGAACGGTTGTTCAAGAGACAGTCAAAGTGTTTCCGCCAGACCTGCATTATGTCTGCAGTCTGGGTGCAGGTAGCGCCTGAACTACCATCGATCAGTGTCCTCAGCGGCTCCAATCTCGGTCCATACACCGCCTTCAATGAGTCAAAAAATTACTTGTGTTGGCGGCGTTCGGCGTAGCATTCCATCTGCTTCGCCTTCTCCGTCCACCACGCGATTTTTATGCGTCGGAGCTCTCGGGTCAGTCGCCGTCGAAGTTTGCGAAACTGACTCTTCTTCCCCAAGTCACTGGGATCTGCCACATGTGCAGCAAATGTTGCATTCTTCTCCGACACCAATGAGCTAATCGTCGCATTGTTCTCATAAAACAAATCAGGCCGCTTACAGTTTGCGCGCCCGATGGTCTCCTCGGCAGCAGCTGTCACCTGGTCGCGAATGTGGTGCCACAGGTCGCCCACTGTGGCTATGTAGTCCACATCACACAGGTGTGCAGCCATCGCCTTCTCCAGCTCAGTACGTTTCTCCACAGTACCGAGGGAGAGAATGTTAAATTTACGCCGATTCACCGCGGGAGTGCAATACATAGATTTAGGAAAACATATGTACAGTTTGGTACGCACCAATTTGTGATCAGTACCACACTCAGCTCCACGCAGTACATGTGTTATTCGCACTTCACGAATATCACAATGATGTACGATGACATAGTCGAGCAGGTGAGCGTGACCACTCCGTGGGTGCGTCCAAATTGCTATATCACCCGCACTCAGTGCAAACCGAGTGTTGTGATCGTCAAGCCGTGAGTGGCATACAGGGAGAGCAGCCTGTCACCGTTCGCATTCGCTGAACCATTGCCATGAGAACCGATGACATCTGCCCACACCGATGCATCACGCCCAACGCGCGCGTTGAAATCACCCAGCAGAAATAGTCGGTCGCTCCTCGGCACAGACCATATCACGGAGGATAGCTGAGTGTAGAATTGATTACGCGTGTCATCAGGATAACACATGCCTTTCCCACTGAACGCCGTTTCGATGAGTTCATCGGTGGCAACGTTAAACAGGATGAGTGACGACCATGAACTTTGTCTGACATAGGTGAAGATAGAGAATGGAGGGACAGTTTTCTATAAATCACTCACTGTACCCGAACCATGCGCGTAGAGCCTTCTGATAATGTTTACATATTTATCGGGCACACATTGCCTAAGCAAACAGTTCCAAAGAGCATAAAGATCCACCAAATCAAACGCACCTTTGACATCGAGAAACAGGACTACGGTAAGCCGTCAAGGAAAATGGCGGCGCTACAACAAGTGACGCAAAGTAAAGATGTGGTTGATGCAGCCTCCATTTCGACGAAACCCGGCTTGCTGCTCATGAACTTGGCTTTTATGAGTGCTGGTCGGACGCAAAGAACTTAGAGGCAATTGAGATCAGACTGATTCCTCTATGATTACCGCATTCTGAACGTAAGCCTTCCTTGAAAATTGGGACTATGACGGAGCAGTTCCAGTCTGTTGGGAAAGTTTCTTGCTTCTGAAGGTCAGTGATACTAGTTTCGGACACACACAAGTCAAAACCCAGGGTGTTCAACGTGCATTTGACCAGCTGGTCTTAGAATAGGAATGTTGAATGCCACCATGAGGAAGGAAGAGCGTGACCTTATAAAGAGCTATTGTGCGAGGGAGCCTAGGGGATGATGAGGAAACATAACTGCAGATGGCAGAACTCCAGTTGTATTGGAGTGGTATTGTCAAATGAGCCGAGAATCACAGGTTAGCAGTTAGGGTCAGGAGGGGGATGAGAGAAACATTTGGAAAAGAAAGGAGGCACCAGCAGTAGCATGTTTCCGCCTATTTGTTCTGCCGTATACAGCAGATAAGGTGATGCTGGATATGCGGCGTGACGGCCAATGCAGGTGATTGAATTTTGATGAAATAATCATTGGGCTGTGATACTGCCAAGGTGCTCAAACCTAGACCGGAGAACGAGTAGGATCCTCAAGCAAAGACTTTGGGTCAAAAAGCCTGTCCACATGGCAGCGATCCGGTTTTACAGAAATGGGCGCTATCCCATTTACAACCCTCAGCCTAGAGGATCAGGAGACCGAGTTGGTCTGATCTCTAACCGTTGACCAACTTGTTGCAAGTGGCTATCAAGGAATCCGGGGCCTCACCCAGTATAATTCAATGCATCGAAGAGTCGACAGGTGGCCGAGCGGTCTGCGCACCTGGTTTGCAACCATAAGGTCACCGGTTTGAATCCGCATAGGAGTGGGCGACCTTGTAATATACACAGTGAAAGCGCGACTGGTGGTGGCCACAGGGCAGCGAAGCGTGGTTACGGCGTACAGTTGGCGACACGTGTACGAAACAACGCATGGTATTCGTCAACTTTATATGACCCAACGAACCAACTTCATGATCATCGCTATTAGTAACTTGCACGCCAAGTTGCAGAGGGCACGTTGGTTCCACCTAACAAGAGCAATGCTCCGCGAGTAACGACTGTCAGTGATCTGAAGGTACCTGACATTTGCAGACCGAATGGACCAAGTTCCGATGTTGTAGTGGTAAACGACTCTTACTGTGGTTTTGAAGTTAAGTAAAATACCCCTGAAGTGGTGGATGTCTTGAATTCCTTAATAAATTGTTAGCTCTTACAAGTCAGCTGATTTGGACAAACTTACCCATATATTAGTCGAACCCGCGCGAAACTTTCGAACCAAACAAGTCACCATAAGCATCCGTAACCCCACTAGACTGCGAAGGACAATATCTTCAAAGCAGAGTGAATAGTACAAGCAAATAAAAAGTGAAAGGTTTACGTGTTGCTCTCTCCTATCGCTGCATTTCAACACGTGCTTCACCATCGTCTTGACTCATCGAATAGCGATAGCCTGAATTTGGGGTCGAACTCGGCACATTATGCTTGGCGGCTATCGTCATGATCATCGGTCATCAAGCTACGAAATCCGAAATCAAGTCAAAATGATTAGATAAGAGAAGGATAGTTGTTCCACCACTAGGGCATGACATAAGTGATACAATATTTCATTATAAAAAGCAAACGTCGAGTCAAAAAATAGCAACAGCTGGCATCAAAGGTCAAAGAGATGATAAGAAAGGATACTCCGGAACATGAATACTGCAATGCTAAAAGGCCGATAAGGAAACCGACCGACAATCTGCGGTTAAAGACCGTGTTCGTAGACAGCCTTGAAAATCAGCAAAATACACGATTATGTCCTATCCCTTTATCAGGCATACGTTATTCGTGCAGAACACCTGACGGATGAAGGTCAACAATAAGGATAAGAACAAATAAAAGGCGTCGCATACGTAGATAGAAAAAAGCAAGCCGTTGCTGCAAGTGACCCAGGGATGTAACCGCGAAAAAGGAAAACAAATAGCGATGAAACGAAAACGACACAAAAGTAAATGTGTATTATGGGTAGCATAGAGTGGGACAAAGAAGACATGCTAACGCCTACCTTCGCCATGTTTGTCCGTGAACTGGAAAGCCTTGACCAAGCGCAAAGTTTCTTCCACGGAGCGTCCAACAGGTGTATCGTTGATTGTGATTTGGCGTATGATCCCGTTCGGGCTTATAATAAACAGCCCACGAAGAGCAATGCCTTTTTCTTCGTACAGAACGCCATAATCAGCAGATATACACTTCTTGTAATCCGACAAGAGTGGATAACGCAAGCCGCCAAGTCCTCCGTCCTTTAGAAGTGGAAACCAGACAAAAGAACGAATAAAGCACTTCTTTGGACCATTCGAAGTGCTGAGTTCATACTACATTTGCTGATGGGATCGTAGAACTAACAAGTGAACAGGAACACAGGGTGTGAAATAAAATCAGTAGAAGCGGGCATTCAAACACGCAGTAGTTTACAGCATCTGTTTTCAGAGTTGGCTGTCGTTGTGACTTCGTATCAATAACTGACACCCACACAGAACGACGGCGGGTGACATGAGGTGAGTCATCCACATACCGAAATGTTCCCAATAGGCCCAAGGAATAATACTGCAGAGAGTTTGAGCTGAATCTTAGGGCCCAGGGAATGCATTAGCTTAGCCAAACGCAGAAAGATGACAATTCCCGGAGACAGCAGATGTGAAGTATACAACTGAAGCACAGCTGATCTTGTCAGAACTGAAGCTGTAAATGAAAACATGAGGCTGTAAGAAGTTGACATTAGCGAAAGTTAAATAAAGCAAGTTTAGGGAACCTTATATGGGATCATAGAAAGAAAGAATTCGCCCGTAACAAATGTTGCAATTAACGCACAAAGTAAACTGTTAAAGTCTGACATTGCGTTTGAACAGCACCAACAAAGTGTGACTGGCTAGACGATAGGGCGGATGAGCTTTCTATAACTTCAATCAGGGCTCGATCACGCGAGTTAATAATCCCGAGTTGACGCCGCTTGCCCAAGTCGACAACCCCAAGCTGATTCCGATTAGGCGCGTTAATAGCTGCAAGTCGACTTCACCAGTCGTGATGGTGGCTAATAAGACGCAATAATTAAATGCGCGATTCACATGTGGGTAAAATATAAAAGCAACCCTTCATTTACGTATGATAGACGTCTAATCGAGGCCCCGACTTCGCTTTGATTTGGACAGCCACTGGACACAAAGCGCACACACAAACACCCAGACAGGAGATCAGGCGGAGTCAAACAGCTATCAGTTCGAAAGGCGCTCTTGGCAACTAACGGTGTCTGGTAACAGTTCACTCGTCAATGGCTGGAGACTCACTTTAGAATGATGATTTACAGTAAAATGCCAGATCAGTCAGTTCGAATATTTTTGGATTGGTTAAAGCAAATGGACACAAGCGACTTGTAAAAGAGCTCAGTTGTTCCACTTATTAACTTAGCTAGTGCACAGAAGTGAGGCGGGTTCGCTTCTCTTTACACGCGTTGCCATAATATCAGTGATAATAACCCAACAATGCTTCAGACGAAATCCTTGAGTCCGAAATTAAGGAACGAATGCAAGGTCTCCACTGATCGTGTCATATTCGCGACAGGACATCATCCAACTAGTTATCTGATTAGCTCAAAGGACCCCATTTAAGGGGATGGTAAGAACCAACCCAACGCAGCTCCCTTGCTGAGTTTATTCATGTTTCTTGCCAGATCATCTACTGACTTCAGGGTTTCACTAAATCAGGTGCTTGCTTGCTAAACAATACAATCACGATCAATCAACAACAGCAGTACATCAGCCATTTGAACTGATGCTTCGTTGCCATACAACCACGATGACTTAAGGAATAACGAATAGTAAAAGGGAGAGAAGGAGGAGTTACCTGAAAACCTTAATGCCCTAAGGCACCTACACCTTAGGTTAACAACATAACGTCACAAACAACTGGCAATCGAGAAAGGTAAGGCGGCATCGGCCAGACAAATCTCTTGCGGCTTTTACTGCCCCGCATCATAATCAGTCATTACCCAGCAGATAACTCAGCACCAAGCACACTTTAAACAGTCAATCCGATTAGGAGACGGCAGCAAACGCGCTACTGGTGTTTACTGCGAGCCACGTCCTGTAAAATCTCGAGCCAAGCACAAGGTGAGTCATGTCGACCCCAGCCCGGAAGGCTAGACGGACCAACGGCACCCAGTTGGTCGTCAGTGACTTCCTTTTCCGCTGCCAAGTCAACTTCTGTCCACCTCGAACCTTGCGCAATCCTACATCTGGCAGCGGTGACCAGGCATACGTAGCACGTGCACGAGCCAACGGAACTTATTAAGTGTCATCTGTTGTTCTAGGGAGCTAGCATGATTATCATTACTCAATACTCACTTAAGCACATCATCGTTGCGAACACGCTGGTGCCATCCGACACCAGCAATGCTTCGCAGACAACGATGATCATAGACTTGAAGGCGCCTCAGATCTTCAGACCGAAGGGACCTAGTCACACTACCATACAGCAGAACGGCCATCACTGTGGCATTGTATACACGACCAACAAGACGAAGGGAAACTCCTTGCTGTCACCAAAAATGTCAGATTCAAGAGGGCAGTTCTGGCTTTTGCATTGAGTGAACTGCCGTCAGTTTCCATGTGCCCATCGTTGCTGATGCAGTTGCTAAGGTAAGGGAATGGATAAACCACCTTGAGTTCCTCGTAACCAAGGGCCAAGGGGTCATAAAGTGGCTGGTGGTCCTGCAGCAACACTTTGCACGTTGAAGGTGCATTCCAAATAACGGGACCACTCTAGAAAGACTATTCAGGGTTGCCTGTGCCGCCCCCACATCGTGAAAAAGCAAGACGATATCGTCCGCATAATCTAGATCAACTAACCTTTCACCAGGCAGCACTTCAACGCCTACATCGTGAAATTACGCAAGGGAACACCCCATGATAGAGTGCACGACGAAATTGAACAAAAACGTGGAAATCGGACAAACCTGACGAACGCCACTTGTGGTCGGAAAGCTATCCGACAGGTCACTGTAGACGCTGACGCGGCCTATAGTGTTGGAGTATAGAGCACGAAGGATGTTCACATATTTCGTGGGAACACCTTTCTGCGCAAGTATTTCGAACAGAATCGATCGATCGACTGAATCGAACGCACTCTTGAAATCGAGGAACACAGCTATTGTCGGTCTGCGGTATGCGTGGCGCTGCTCTAGCACCTGCCGCAAAGTAAATATATGGTCTATACAGCCACGTCCTGGATGGAAACCTACCTGCTTTTCCTAATTCTGAAATTCCCATTCCACAGTGAGGAGACAAACGAGAATCGATGCCAGTAATTTTGGCGTAACTTGCTTTAAGCTAATACCATTGTGGTTAGAACAGTCTGTGTGACTGCCCTTCTTATAGATTGACACTATAATCGATCCACTCGTCAGCCAGGACACCACTTCCAGATATGTTCGAATAAAGGTCAGTGCTTTGTAGAGGACCTCACCACCACCCTTAAATAGCACAAGTAGGAAATAACCCGGGACAGTAGCAGAAAAACGATTGAGGGCTGTGATCGCGTTTCAATCTTTGGCCTCAGACGGAGGCTCTAAACTAACCATCCATGGCTCGTCCTGCAGCACCTGAGTAGGAAGAGATGCAGGAGCAGGAGCAGCTGAACTGATCTTGAAAGTGTTCAGCCCAACGAGCCAAACGGCGCTCTTTATTGTGTATCAGCGCACCCGCGCTCTGATTGTCTCACTGACGCCTAGTTTCCTGTGACCAGTTCTGCGGATCAGCTGGAAGAGCTTGCGCTAATTGCCTACTACTCCTGCCTCCTCTATTTCTTGAGCTGTACTTGTCCACCAGGCTTCCTTGTCAGCATGTACGCTCAGCTTTAGTTCGCGCCTAATAGCCCGTCTGGTCAGATTGTGCTCAGAGCCCGCCGGGATGTTTCTTCTGGATTCCAACAGGCTCACCGACCTCTCGCAGATCCAGTGACTGGTGCGGTGACGATGGATAGTGCCACAAGCAGACTCTCCTACGTCCTGCATGGCGGCCGAGATTCTATTCCACTGAAGCTCAGTGTAATTAGAACAAGACAGCGGAAGTACGGTATGCAATGCTTCTTGTTAGGCTTGCCCGACCGAGGACTGAGACAATTTCTCAGTTGCCACTTGGAGAAGATACTTGGTGCGCCTCCTGGTAAAGTTCGTGGAGTAACGACAGCGTACCAAGGCATGATTAGAGTCGACGCAGGTACTCCAGTACGAGCGGCAATCCAGGATGGAACCACACCATCTGTAACTTATGGCAATGTGATCAATTTGGGTCCATCGCTGGTCAGTTACAGGAGAACGCCAAGTGGCACATCGGCGCCCACTGTGTCTAAAAGCAGTGCTACTAAGAAACAACTAGTGCTCCGCACACAATTGCAGCAGACGTTCGCCGTTGTCAGTCCGTTCGGTGTTAAGCCCATAATTACCACCTTGCTGAGTTTCTGAAAAGCTCAGACGCCCTACTTGTGCCTTCATATCCCCTGCAAGTAGTATAATATCTGAACTAGTAGCAGTGCGTAATAGCGCATTCAGTTCGTGATAGAATGTGTCTTTGACAGCATTTGAACTGCAGTCAGTGGGATCATAAACGGAAATCACAAGCCAACAGCGTTCTGTACTGCTTCGTGAATCAACCTCGGTTATGTGGTCAAACGGGCTGCATATAACGGCTCTTCACCGGAATCCAATTAACCAAAGATGGTTCAGCCTTGGAGCTTAGAATAATAACTACACCGGCTTGACCCGTGAACGCTGCATCGGTGTCTCCGTATGCCTGTAACCAACAGCGAGAGAAGAGGCCGGGCGCAGTTAATTCAACAACCCCATTAGGGTCGTTGATCCTAGTTCCGGAAACACAACACATATCAATATCCAGTGTGTCCAAGGTGCTTGCGAGTGCAGCATGTTGACCTTTTAGGTTGGAGTGCGAACATTGAACGCCGCCAGGGAAACGGGACAGCGTGGTCTTATGAGGGACTGCTGCCGATAGGAATCTGATGGGTGTTGTAGGAAGGTGGCTGCAGATGATTCTACTCCAATGGCACTTCGGTACAAGAAACTTATGTAACGCCGCAAAGATCAAGAAACGCCGGCAGTTCGAAGAGGAGCTAGCATCATCGGCCACAACTGCACCCAAGCGAATATTTGCCTACTTGAAACGTCAACTGAAATCTGGGGACGACCTACCGGTCTTAGAGAGCTTAGACGGGAAGACACTCATTTCAAGCGCGG